GACAATGTAAGTGATACTTGTATTTTACTAATATTTTAATATATTATTTTCTTTTTTATTTACTATATTTGATCGATGTTAATATGGTATTAGGACATTAAAACTATTCTGATATTTTTCTATCTTTTTCATCACTACAACTTGTTTTTCTTATTGGTTTGTCAGATTTTCGATTCATTTCATTAAACTGTTTTATCATAACTCTCTCTTGTTGAAATATTAAATTAGATTTGTAAAAATATTAGATTTGATTAGATTTAATATTTAAATATAATCCAAGTTGTATTAACCCAAATTCAATTAGGATTATAAATAAATAGTTATAGTGTGTATTATTATTTATACAATTTAATAATACAAATTCTTATTTCCTTTATTATTCTCTCTTTCTCTCATCACTAAAAGTGTCTCATGCACTAACAAATTGGTATCTAAAGCTTTCGGTTATTGTTCTTGATCAAGTTTTCAAGAATTTCACGTCAAAGATCGTGTTTCTAGGACAAGTGAATCAACCGCTCCGAAGATGGCTAGTGATAAGGGTATTCTGAATTCTCTTCTAATGCTTGACGGCAAAAATTGAATCCGATGAAAAAAAATATGCAATCCTTGTTTGGCTTCCATGAAACGCTAGAAGTGGTTACCGACGGTGTTCCTGTGTTGGCTGCAAATGCAACCGACGAACAGAAAAAAGCCTACAACAAAGTCAAGAAGAAACATTGCAAGACTGATTATTGCATTCAAACGGCTGTCAATGCTACTAATTTCGACAGAATCTCTCATGTTGAAACGGTGAAGGAGGCATGGGATATTCTGGTGAAGTATTACGAAGGAGGTGAGAAAGTCAAGGTTATCAAATTACAAATCTTGCATCGGCAATATGAGTTATTATCGATGGGAGAAGATGAAAAAGTTGTAGAATATGTGTCGAAGGTTCAGAAACTCGTCCATCTCATGAAGGGTTGTGGTGAAACCGTTACTGATAAGATGATACTTGAGAAGGTAATGAGAACATTGACCTCTCAATTTGATCATGTTATCGTAGCTATTCAAGAATCCAACAATCTTGAAACCACTAAAGTGGAAGATTTGATTGGTTCGTTGGAGGCGCATGAGATGAGGATTGTCGAAAGGAAAGGAGTTCAGGACTCGATACAAGCACTACAAGCTCAGCCATGGAAAAAGGATGGTGGTTCCAACAAATTCAAAGGCAAGTTCGACAAGACTCATGGCAAGAAGTCTTGGTCGAATCCCCATAAGAATAAGGTCGAAGATAGATCTTCTTAATCCTAGAAAAAGGGAGGAAGAAACTATTGAAAGGACAAAGAAGATAAGAAAGGTATGTAGTGTTATAACTGTGAAAAGTAGAGACACTTGGCCAAGAATTGTTGGTACAGAAAAGACAAGGGATCGACAGGCAAGGACGAATGAGCGAACCTTGCATGCCAAGATTCAGATGATTCTGAAGGTGGTATGGTGGTTATGGCTGCAGTTGCAGATAACCGTGTCGAATCCAAGATCTGGTTTCTCGGCTCAGGCTACTCGAACCACATGAATGGTCGAAAGGAGTGGTTGGCAGATTTTGACGAGTCGAAGAAGAGTAAGGTAAAACTTGCTGATAATAGTTCGTTGCAAGCAAAAGATACTAGAAACATAGTCTTTCAAATGAGTAATAGAGGGAAAGCTATGATCAAAGATATGTTCTATGTATCTGGAATGAAATGCAACTTACTAAGTGTTGGACAACTAGTCGAAAAAGGTTTCTCAGTTGTCATGAAAGATGGAGTTTTGAAATTGTTCGACACCAAGAACAATTTGGTCTTAAAAACTCCATTTTCGAAGAATAAGACATTTAATACTATGATCAGTTCGACAGAAGTTCAATGTTTGAAAATTGTTGTTGACCACAAGGATAGTTGGTTGTGGAATTTGAGGTTTGGACATTTGAATTTTCAATCACTTAATCAACTGATTACTCAAGATATGGTTACTAGTATTCCAAGCCTTGAGATGCCTGAATAACTTTGTGAAGGTTGTTTTGTGGGAAAGCAATCAAGAAATTCTTTCGTTTCGACTATGTCAATGAGATTATCCTACATTCTCGAAGTGGTGCATTCGAAGAACATATAATTGGTGGAAACAAATATTTTCTTTCATTTATCGATGAGTTTAGTCGAAAGCTGTGGATCTATGTGATCAAAAAAAAGGGCGAAGTATTCGAAACCTTTAAGAGATTCAAGATACTTGTCGAAAACTAGAGTGAGAAAAAGATCAAAGTTCTGGGAACAGATGGAGGTGGCGAATACACATCCAAGATGTTTGAAGATTTCTGTGCAGAACATGGTGTTGATCATGAAGTAACTGCTCCTTATACACCTCAAGATAATGGAATTGCTGAAAGAAGAAACAAAACCATATTAGATATGGCGAGATGCATGCTGAAGCAAAAGAATTTGCCAAAGTCTTTATGGGAAGAAGCTGTTTCAACTGTAGTTTATATTTTGAATAGGTGTCCTACTAAGATATTAAAGAACAAGGTTCCTGAAGAAGTATGGAGCGGCAAACGACCATCAGTAAGTTATTTGAAGGTATTTGGCTCTATGTGTTACAAGCATGTTCCTGATGCAAGGAGAAGGAAGCTTGATGACAAGAGTGAACCTATGATTCTGGTAGGATATCATAAAACTAGTACATACAGATTATTCAATCCAGTTAATGAGAATATTATGTTGAGTCGAGATATTGTGATTAATGAAAATTCTGTCTGGGATTGGAAGTCTAGCAATTCAATTAACAAGCCATTAATTAACTTTGATTTCGACAAAGAAACTGATGAAGTAGAGGTCAAAGGAATTGTTGAGAATCCAGTCGAAGTCGAAGAAGAAGCAGCTGATGACACTCCTGACACAGTCGAAGTCGAAGAGGTTGTTGCTAAACAAGCCAAAGACCTCAAAGAAATAGAGTTCTTCCAATAAGACTTCATGATTATGAAGTGGTGGTGATGATGAAATCACACAAGATGGAGAATTAGTTCATTTTTCTTTACTTGCAGGTGCTGAACCAATCAACTATAGCGAAGCTTTAAAGATTAACAAGTGGAAGTTAGTTGTGGTCTAAGAGTTATAGGCAATCGAGAGAAACAACACATGGGAGTTAGTCGAATTTCCAGCACATACAAAAGCTATCGAAGTAAAGTGGGTGTTCAAGTTGAAACACAATGCAGATGGGTCAATAGAAAGACATAAAGGTAGATTAGTAGCTAGAGGTTTTCTTCAAAGAGCGGGACTCTATTACTCTGAAGTATTTTCTCCAGTAGCAAGATTAGAGACTGTTCGACTAGTGGTAGCATTGGCATGCAACCAAAGCTGGTCGACATTCCATCTAGATGTGAAATCAGAATTTCTGAATGGCCCTTTAGAAGAAGTTTATGTCACACAACCTCCAGGTTTTGTGATTCAGAAGGAAGCTAGTAAAGTATATAGATTGCACAAAGCGTTCTATGTCCTCAAGCAGGCACCTAGGACATGGAACAAGAAGAACGACTCATACTTAATCGAATTGGGATTTATCAAATGCAAATCAGGGTATGGTGTCTATGTTCAAGTTTTAGCACAAGATATAACAATCATTTTCTTGTATGTTGATGACTTTCTAGTAACTGGAAATAGTTTGGAGAACTTGTCAAAGTTCAAAGAGCTGATGACGAGGAATTTGAAATGTCAGATCTAGGAAAATTGTCTTATTTTCTAGGCATAGAATTTCAAATTTCGAAGCAAGGTATGGTGCTACATCAAAGAAAGTATGTCAAATAGATACTCAAGATATTTAGAATGGATGACATGAATCCTGCATCCTTACCTGTCGAACCAAATGTGAATTCGGAGAAGAATGGAGAGGAAGACATAGTCGATACAACTTTGTTCAAGCAAATTGTGGGATCTCTGAGGTATGTGTGCAACAACCAACCTGATATAGATTTCGCATTCGGATTAGTAAACAGATATATGGGTGAACCAAGAGTGTCACATATGAAGGCTGCAAGAAGAATCCTGAGATATTTGAAGGCTTCAATAAATTGTGGAATACTATTTCGACGAGATTCTGAAGGCAAAGAAGAAATAGTTAATTATTTTTCAGATGTTGATTGGTGTGGAGATAAGGAAGATTGAAGAAGCACAACTGGATATTTCTTTCAAGTATTTGGTGCATCAATCTCATGGTGTTCGAAGAAGCAACCTGTGGTGGAATTGTCATCGTGTGAAGCTGAATATATAGCAGGATCCTATGCTGCATGTCAAGCAATTTGGATCATATCTATACTTGAAGAAATGCCTGTCAAAGTGAAGAAACCTCTAGTATTGTAAATCAACAACAAGTCAGCCATAAATCTGGCGAAGAATCCAGTTTTGCATGGAAGAAGTAAACATATTGAAGCAAGGTTTCACTTCTTGAGGAAAAAAGTAAATCTAGGTGAACTTGAAGTTAGGCATTGCTCAAGTGAAGCACAATTGACCGATATTTTCACCAAAGGATTGATGATCGATAGATTCCTGAATTTGAGAAAGAAATTAGAAATAGTTCAGATTGACTATTTTTGAGGATATTTGAAACTTGGATTATGGGAGTGTGTTGAAATATTAAATTAGATTTGTTAAAATATTAGACTAGATTTGATTTAATTAGATTTAATATTTTAAATATAATCCAGATTATGTTAACCCAAACCCAATTAGGTTTGTATATAAATAGTCCTAGTGTGTATCATTATTTGTAATTTAATAATAGAAATCC